AGTTACAGGACATTTTGAGAGATGCTCCATAGTCCCCTGGAACTTGGTTGACCTTGGAGGGCAAGGGGCAAAAACTGTCCTTTAAGTCCCTCTGATCACAGTCTAGGCCTCAAACTATGGCTGTTAAACATCCAATAAAGTTAGTTACACCAGTCTGGTATTTTAATGCTATGTAGATAAGGCTTGGATAAAAAAACCAAATATTCTCAGATAAACCTCAACTAGATACATATTTTGTTCCTTTAACTGGTTGACTAAACTATGACCATAGACATTTTAAGATTATATGTATATTATTTTTGTCTCATCCTTTATATATCATAACAGACCTACACAGACCTTCATCACTTGCTTAGGCTTTCTCATTTTTTTCTGTCTATTTTGGAAAATATCTCCAGTCCTATATCCTTTTACATTCTCATTTTCTTTTTTTAAAAAAAATAATTATGAGGCATAATAGCATTAACATATAAATTTTCCATCTGTTGTGAGATTTCTTTTCCTGGGGATGCTAAGCAATGCTTATTCTCTTTTAAGGTTCTAGTGTCAAGCCAATGTTTGATTAAAGTTTTACTGGGAAACCAATGAATTTATTGAGCTTACTTACTGAGATAACTGAGGGGTTTCTGAAGTGTATGTATGACCTGAGGGTATGCACACTGGAAAGCCTTTACCCAGCATAGGTCATGCCTTCTCTTCCTAGCCTTCCCCAGATTGTATACTTTAGCTCTCCCCAAATCCTGGAGGCCATGTGTGATTAGGGCCAAATTATATGCAGTTGGCTGGAAAGAGTGGCTGGATAATCCAGTGAGGGTCCAGTGTCCCTGCTTGGCCCTCCTTTAATGAATGAGCACAACTGTCAACAAGCCCAATTGTGACGATGTTTAGTGATCAGGCTCAGCTGAAGTCCTAATGATGGTAGTTATTTCATGCAGAAGGGGCTGCTGTATAACATCATCTTATTAAAAAGATCTGGAATTTAAAAGGATTTCTTGCTAGGATCCACATATGAGGGAGAACATATGTCACTTGTTTTTCTGAGTCTGTGTTACTTAGTATAACAGTTTCTAGATCCATCCATTTGCCTGTAAAGTTCATGAGTGCATCTTTCTTTACTGCTGAATAGAACTCCACTGTGTAAATATACCACATTTTGTAAACCACTCGTCAGTTGAGGGACACTTATGTTGCTTCCATCTCTTAGCTATTGTGAAAGGAGCAGCAACAAGCCTGGTTGTACAAGTGTTTCTACAATAGGATGAGTTCTTTGGGTATATGCCAAGGAGTGGTATAACTGGGTCATATGGTTGGTGCATTTTTAGTTTTTTGAAAGTTCTCCACACTGTTTTCCATAGAGGTTGCATAAGGTTGCAATCCCATCAGCAGTGAATGAGCGTCTCCCTTTCTCCACATCCTCGCCAGCATTTGGTATCATTAGTTCTCTTGATCCTAGCTAGTCTGATTGGGGTAAGGTGATACCTTAGGGTGGTTTTAATTTGCATTTCCCTAATTACTAATCATGTTGAACACTTTTTGAGATGTTTCTTAGTCGTCTTTATTTCTTCGTTTGGGAGCTCTCTGTTTAGATCTTTAGCCCATCTTTTAATTGGGTTATTTAGTTGCTCAATTCTTTGTTTTTTGAGTTCTTTATGTATTCCGGATGTTAAACCCCTGTCAGATGTGTCACTGGTGAAGATTTTCTCTCATTCTGTGGGTTTTCTCTTCATTTTTTTTTTACTGTTTCT